CTCCCTTCCTTGCCTCCAGCCCAGCTCTGTCCCCTGGCAGGTGGGTGAAGCTCAGCAGCTCAACCCGCATCCCAAAAGTCAGTCCCTGAGTTTCCTTTTCAGCATTCAGGGCTCAGCATCCCAAGGGCATCTCAAGGGCACAGGCTGCTTCTAGGCTGGGGGCAAAGGGGGGTGGTCCTGGGGCCCACTGTTACCTTCCTGGTGCCATAGAGGGTCTCCAGCAGCCTCTCCTGGGCCGTCTCAAAGCGCTGGTCCAGGCTGGAGGCCGTCTTCTGCACCAGGTTCCAGATCAGGTAGTTGTTGAGGACACTGCAGGGGCAGACAGGGTCCGTGGTCCATGGGGGATGCGCTAGCCACTGGCGAGCCCAAACCATGCCCCCACGGTGGAGGAAACCCCAAAGGGGGCATGGTGGGGGTTCGCAGGTGCCTCACCTCCTGTCGGTGCTGTTGATGAGGTCAGAGACCTGCTGGAGGTATGTGTCCCCGTACACCACCACGGGCTCCGTGTCCACCAGCTCCAGCGGGGCCAGGGCGTAGGACAGGTAATCCAGCCAGTCGATGGCGGGAGCCAGGGCCTGGGGGGGACACACGGGGATGCGGCACCCGGGTGCTTGGCGTGGCTCTGCACCATCCTGCCCAGCACAAGGGGTTGCCCTGGGGCAGTGGCTGTGCTCCCTGGGAGGGTCGCAGGTTCCCTCACCACCCCATGTCCCTTCTCTGTCCCCCAAACACCTTTCCACTGCTCTCTGCTGCTCACAGTGCTGCAGGACAAGGAGGAGACCCTGGGACCCCCCATGCAGGGTGGCAGCTCCCTCCAGATCCTAATGACCAGGGGGATGAGCACCTTGATCCAGCACCCAGTGCATGTCCCATAACGGATGGGGCTGCCCAGGGTGTCCTGGGGGGAGCAGCAGCAGGCACAGACCCCTCAGTGACCCACTGGACTACCCCTCCTTGTGTCCCCACCTGCAGCTCAGCGATGCTCATCTTGTGGTAAATCTTCTCATCGTCACGCCGCTCAGCCTGGGGCACGGTGATGTTGGCCAGCTGGGTTTCGAAGTCCAGCACTTGCTGCATCTGGAGGCGGGTGGGCTCCGGGGCACCCCCTAGCAGTGTGCCCAGCTCCACCATGTACTCCAGGTACGCTGTCAGGACCTGGTAGGATGCCAAGCCCTGGCTCAGCCCTGGCTGCAGCTCATCCCAGCTCCCCAAGGGGGGTCAAACCCACCCCTGGGCACCTTCCCACCCCAATGTGCATGGTGCAGTGTGCCCTGGTGCTGCTCACACCCCATTGCTGTGGGTTTGCCCCAATTTCTGCAAGTGCGGTGCCCAGCCTCACCCTCTCGTTGGCGGTCTTGTTCAGGTAGTAATCCCGGGATGGCAGGAAAAGCCCTGACTGGTCTACCTGGGGGGAGAGAGAGGCAGCATGGGCAGCATGGTGCCCCTCTGGTGCCCACCACCCCCTGGTGCCAAGGTGCCAACCTGGATGACGTTGCTGTTGGAGCTCTTGGAGTCCGCACTCACGTACACCGTGAAGAAGGGGGTTGCCCGGTAGGTGCCTGACACCATCTTGAGGACCTCCATGAAGCCAGTCTGGTTCCAGGAGCCAGTGATGTTCCACCCCCCAATCTGCTGGCAGATGGATGCAGTGATACCCCCTCCCCAGTTACATGAAGAACCAAGCAGGCGATGTGCTGGGCTGAGCCCTGACAGCTCAGCTCACGTGTCGATGGCTGCCCACCTTGTCAATGAGCTCCATGAGGGGCTGGGAGCCCAGCTCCTCGATCCTCTGCTCCTTGAGGCAGGACAGGTAGTACCGCTGCGTCTTCCGCTCCGCCTCGCTGCTGGAGTTGAAGGTAGCGTTTTCTGCGGGAGGCTGCAGGTCAGCCCTGGGGTTGCCAGGGGTCTCAGATCAACCCCCCCCGGTGGCCGTGACCCCCACCTAGGAGATGCTTCATGATGGCCTGGTTCTGGTCCCAGATGCTGTTGAAGGTGCTCCACTTGGAGCGCCCGTTGGGCAGCGGGTTCCTCTTGATCCAGCCCCCACACGAGTACTGGTAGAAGTCCTGGCACGGGTCTGTCTCCACATCCAAGGCCTCCAGGATCTTGCTGGCCACCCGGATGCAGGCGTCCGTCAGGCACGTGCTGTGAGAGGGATCTGGCAGGGAAGGCATGCCCAGGGCTGTGCATGTGTGCCAGGGAAACTGAGGCACAGAATGGGGCAGGAACACTGAGACCCTCCCTACCTCTCTGGTACTGGATGGCCAGGGCGACGATGGCGATGCTGAGCAGCAGAGCCAGGGAGATGGAGACGGCACAGAGCACCAGCTCCAGCTGACTGCGCGACGCCAGGCGGCTCAGCAGCGGCCCCGGCCCCTTCCGAAACCCCACCTGGGCAGGAGCAGGACCTGTCATCGCACCGCGGACAGACCGAACCTTGCCACTCCCCCTT